ATGTCAGTGTTGGTCCTCCGTACTGCAAGAAGCCTGATGATCATCTGTTCATTCATATCAGGTGTGTTGGAGCAGAGGAACAAGTAAAACATGCAGGACTGCGGCCCTCCAGGACCAGGACTGCCCACCCCTGCTCTACATGAAACATGATGGTGACAAACAACAACAACAACAAAATAAAAAACATTCTACCTTCACCTGTTCTGCAACCCATCAACATGTGCTCCTGACTGTAAGTTCTTGACTAGAACATTAAAAAAACAAGTTTCTCACTGAGTAAAAAAAAGAAAAGAAGTTCTTCCTGCAGAAAAAAATAAAGCCAACGTTTCTGTTTCCCTGTTGGTGTGTGAGGCGCTGCGTCTGTCTCACCAGCAGGGGGTTGACTCTCATGTAGGTGGGCCAGCCGGGGTCCGTGGGGCACATGGCTGTGAGCGTGTGAGAGTAAGGGTCGGTTCTCCTGGTTCCCATCAGGACGGCTCGCAGCTCCGGCCTCTTTTCCTGCAGCTCGTTCAGCGCCTGGCGGATGCTGCCCTCCACGTGGATCAGCTCCAGGTTGTACCTGCAGGTGAGGCGGTCAGGTGAGACTGTGGTGAATCAGGATTATTCTCAGCACCTACAGTATCTCCTACTGGAAGTTTTCTGCTTTTAGACCATTTTTATGTCAAAACGTTGAGCTCTTTTAGGACTTTCAGCTGTGAATAATGTTATATCAGCTATTTAGACTTTTTCAGATATTTAGTTTTTCTGACTTTTACCCTCATTAAAACAGATGGTGCTGTCTTCAACATCCTTAAAGGGGCTATATCATGTAAAATCAACTTTTCTGAGTTTTATATCATGTTATAATGTTCTCCTCTCATCAAAACATGTCCAGAGTCTAACTTTGACTCATTCATACATGTTTATAAATCCTGCAGTGTCCTGAGGCAGCAGGCAGGGCAGCAAAGACCACAGGTTGGGACTAGAACCATCTTTTGGGACCTCCCCACCCCCACACACCCCACCCATGACTCCTGCAGGCTCTCAGCAGCAACAAAGCAAACCACTGGTGAAACTGAAAGTGAAACTTAAGCTGTCTTCTGAGCTCTCAACATTAGTTCTCACTCAATGAAGCTCTTTTCAGATTTAAAATACCTTTGAGGAAATATATTTTCAGATACCAACCAAGTAAAGTGCATCATAGCCCCCCAAATGGACGGGACAGAAGCAGAAGGTGGTTCTTAAAGAGACAGAGGCCAATTTCAATGCATTTAGAAGAGGAAGTGATGAGAAGATAAGTTTATTTTCTATTTAAACATAAAAACAGCATTTTAATAACAGCTAAAGGTGACATAGATACTTTATTATGGTATAGTATTTAAATATATGCCTGAGAAACACATAATACTGACTCTTTAAAACCTTCAACATGTTCATAAATCTTTACAATACTTTGACCTTTTGTCCTGGTTTTGCTTATTTATTACTTATTTATGCTGATTTCTTCTTCCTTTGGCTTCTATTTTGCATATTTAAGAATTTTTTTCTGCATTTTTAGCTATCATTCTGACCTTTTCTGCTGTTCGACTGCTAATTTCAACTTTTGTGCTTCTTTCAGCTGTTTTCTGTATTTTTTGGTTTCTTTTTAGCAAATTTGAGCATTTTTCATCTATATTCACCTTTACTGTTTAATTTATCAAACATATGCTCCTTCAGCAACTTTTTCAGCTACAATTTAGCTTTTTGTGCTATTTTCAGCTGTTTTACAACAAATCTGATGGTTTTGTACTTCTTTTCTTGATTTTCTGCTAATTTGAAAATGTTTACACTCTTTTTACCGTTGTGCTAATTTCAAGTTGTTTCTGGTACTTTTACCTTCCTTTAGCTACAGTAATTCTAACAACGTTTAGCCAAGTTTCAGTTACTTTTCTACTAATTTCATCCGTTTCATGCTGAATTTATTTCTTTCATCTTCAGCTGAATCAGTTTTAAAGACACTGAGCTAAATTTAGCTGCTTCCAGCATGAAGCACTCATCCTGTAGTTGTGATTTGTACAGAGAGAAAGATGTTGAAGAAAACCATAAAGACTCACTTCTTTGTCGTGTCCTGAAGGAATCTCTCCATCTCTGGGAAAGGAGACACGTTACGGATGTAGAGAGCTTTCACCTTGTCTTTCCCGTCTGGATAGCGCCTGAGAGTGACAGGAAGAGAGGAATTGGGCATTAAAGATAAAAAAGGAGAGAAAGAAAAAGATTAAATAAGACAATCTGTCAAACACAGACATGAAAGTTAGAGAACAGGCAGGTCTGTTCAAGGTTTTCCATCAAGTCCTCTTCTTTCCCACTAAACACTCAGCTGTCCCACTCTGCTCATTAATAACAACCCAGTTTTATCTCAGGTGCTTTGTTTACCCCGTTAGATCTATTGTGTTACCGTTTCAGTGCAGCGTAGTAGAGGTGGAGCAGCGCCGTGCAGTCTTTGCCTCCGTTGAAGCCGACGCAGATTTGCTCCGTGGAATACTGGTCCAGAGCAGCTTCGACTGTCTTCAGAGCAGACTTCACTTTGTCTCCTAACGCCGTGTCTGTGGAGGAACCTCAGTGTTACCTTTACAAAAATACATTTGTCTTATTACAAAAATGCATTTGTGTTATTACAAAAATACATTTGTCTTATTACAAAAATGCATTTGTGTTATTACAAAAATGCATTTGTGTTATTACAAAATGCATTTGTGTTATTGCAAAAATGCATTTGTGTTATTACAAAAATGCACAAAAACTGTTTAGCGTTCAATCATAAACTCCACCTGTTTACTGTTACATTATAAACTCCACCTGTTTACTGTTACATTATAAACTCCACCTGTTTACTGTTACATTATAAACTCCACCTGTTTACTGTTACATTATAAAACTCCACCTGTTTACTGTTACATTATAATCTCCACCTGTTTACTGTTACATTATAATCACCTGTTTACTGTTCAATTATAAAACTCCACCTGTTTACTGTTCCATTATAATCTCCATCTGTTTACTGTTCTATGAAACTCCACCTGTTTACTGTTACATTATAATCTCCACCTGTTTACTGTTACATTATAATCTCCACCTGTTTACTGTTACATTATAATCTCCACCTGTTTACTGTTCAATCATAAACTCCACCTGTTTACTGTTTAATTATAAACTCCACCTGTTTACTGTTTAATTATAAACTCCACCTGTTTACTGTTTAATTATAAACTCCACCAGTTTACTGTTACATTATAAACTCCAACTCTTTACTGTTTAATTATAAACTCCACCTGTTTACTGTTCAATTATAAACTCCACCTGTTTACTGTTCAATCATAAACTCCACCTGTTTACTGTTCCATTATAAACTCCACCTGTTTACTGTTCAATTATAAACTCCACCAGTTTACTGTTACATTATAAACTCCAACTTTTTACTGTTTAATTATAAACTCGTAGGTTTCCGCTGCTTCATTTCACCAACGCTTCAGTAAAAATCCTCCTCACCGCTGTTGGCCAGTTTGTAGACCTCTGCCGTGGCGATGCTCACGGGGTCTTTGACTAAAGACACCACGCTACCCGCCGGCAGCTGATCCACCAGCTGCGCGCGCGCTCTGTCCACCTCCTCCTGGCTGTCTGCATCCAGAACCAGTCGGACTTTGCAGTAATTGCTCAACCAATCGGGATAGGAGCCGAGGGTCACCTTACGCCCCCAACTGGCCTGCAGTTTGGTCAGCACGGCTGCAATCTCCGTTTCTTCTGCGTCTACAAACACCTGATGGGAGCGGGTTGGGTCAGCTCAGCTGGACTGTTCGCAGACAGACGTTCTTTAAGCAGAACCTGACGGTACCTCACGAGTGTAAAATGTGGTTCCTGAACTCGCAAAGAGATGCTCCAGTCCGGTGAAGGCCAGCTCCATGAAAGATGGGGTCCCAGGAAACACGTAGACGTTCCGCACGCTGACCTTTGAGAAGACGGACAAGTTCAGACGGTAAGAACACAAACAGACCGTGGTTGGCAGCGTTAATTCAAATTTTTGTTGCGCAATTTCTAAAGCGCTAGTCAGTTTATTCAGGTCCGTAAGTTCAAAGGCACATATGATCAATAAAACTTAGTGGAAGCTAAACTTAAAGATTATCTATGTTTACCAGAAAACATTCAGGTAAGAGAAAAGTCAGCGCTTTACTGCCATCTAGTGGTAAGATTATATTCTTTGACAGATTGGAACATGTCGTCGCAGTGTGGGAAGGTGATTTGTAGAAACAGACTTTTGAATCATGGTGTTAAAACAAAAAGTAGTTGTGGATTGTTAGTTCTGCTGCTTCTTGGTCATTTTCTTATGTTTATGGCAGAGATTCAGTAAGAAAACATGCAGATATATTAGTCATTTTAAACTGTTGTAAAACTGAAGCAATGCATTCTGGGTACGCTACAGGACACAGAACAGGAACCTGTTCTTTTCAAAATAAGAGCATGAATTTAAACTGCTCCGTGTTTCTTTCTTTACTAATATTTATGTATTTAATATTTCTTGCTGTGGTGTTCCTCAGAGAGGAGGTACAAACTGCACAGCTGAGTGTGGTTCTGCAGATCAGAACCACAGGTGGACTGTCGATCAGTGAAGAAGCTCCAACTACTTCCTGCCACGCCAACTGTCACTCAGAAGGACAGTAAGTCAGAGTATAAAGCTCTGTGAACGGGCAATTAGTGGAACAAAACAGTGATTTTTCATCAGTTGTTTACACTGTTTTGGCTAAATCTTTTTTTATCTAACAAAAATCATCTTTTTAATACAAAGAAAAGATCTAATTTGAAGAGGAATGATGGAATTTCAGCCTTTTTGCAACAATCTATTGAAAATAAACTGATGGAAAAATACCAAAAGTCTTAAAAAGGTAGCGATAATCAAACTAAAAAGAAAAAGAATTGTAGCTGAACAACTCATCCAGTGCTCGGCCTTGCTATTCTATAAATAATAGAAAACAAAAACAACTTTTAAATTATTCTGCCTGGAAACATGAATCAGCTGCAGGTGAGAAACCAATATTCAGCCGAGACATAAATCATCAAACTCAGTGTGAGTGACGATGAGATTTGATCAATCTTATCTTTACAAAAATGCCCAGAGGTTTATAGTGTATATATA